AGCCCCACCATTTGTACAATTTTTAATCACCACCACCTAGGGATGCTTCCAGTCTAATATGGTTGATATCCACTTCTTAGTTCCAGAGAAGAAGTCGCTTAAAGCAGTATAGCCAAATACCCTTTTTGGCCCGGCCCCTCAGCCCCCTGGGGGTCAGCCACACCATTTGTACAATTTTAAATTCCTGCCTCCCAGGAATGCTTTTGATCAAATATGATTGTTATCCAGTGCACAGTTCTACAGAAGAAGTCGTTTGTAGCAATATAGCCAAATTGCCCCCTATTGGCCCCGCCTCTCAGCCCCCAAGGGAGTTAGCCCCACCATTTGTACAATTTTTAATCACCACCACCTAGGGATGCTTCCAGTCAAATATGGTTGATATCCACTTCTTAGTTCCAGAGACGATGGACGCCACGGTATGGCATAAGCTCACCTTCGGACCAGGTGAGCTAATAAATTATAGAATGATAAATCTTGGAATCCAGGATCCATTTTATGCCCTTTTAAGGACATGATCTTCGAGGCATCTCTGGTTAAGTATGGGAAGTCCTCATCCTCTGCTTACCTATGAAAACTATCCACCATTTTTAGTTGGCCACGTAAATCTTTCTTGGTGAGGTGGTCGAGCATGCGAGCGTCGACCAGACACTCCATGAAGTGGCTGCGGTATTGGGGTAATCCTAGACATGGCAGCCACTCGTTACCTATCCACTCATGGTTCATGTCGCCAAATGCTAAGGTCTGCAATAAAACAAGGCACACAGCACATGAGAAGTCATTCACGTCAGGATTTGGTACTCAATGAAATATAAGGTACAGATTAACAACTGATAATTTTATGATTTAAAACAAAATGGCTACAGAGAAAAATCAAGAATATGATCATATTTTTGCAACTTGTATGGAAAAAGGATCAAATGAAAAATACATACATTTTCAAAAATTATAAGTTAGCTTCAAAAGTGGATATCTGAAACATTCTCTTTAATCTAAATGCATTCCTTCTAAAGTGTTCAACACAGTTCTTGTTCTACTGGTGGTCAGTACTTACAGTTCGGGAAGTTTTAGGGGCTGATGGACTGGTCAAGCTGACCATCTCCTGTATGGCCAGCCTCAGCTTTAACCTATGCAGGGGATTGCTGATGCCAATCTCCCGTTGGATCTCTTGGTCCGATAATGCTGACATGATCGCTCCACTTTTGACGTTAGCTCGACAGGCTGCCACATACCATGCAGGCATCCCCACCCACAGCTACACAACAAACACATGTCATTACATCAACAAAACAACAAATTATTTATTGGAATATACAAAATTGTTCTTAAACTATTAATGTGTTTTGAGCTTTGTAAATCAGGGAATATAATTGAATTTCAACTCTTAGCAACTGTATATCAGTAAACTTTCGCCCAGTCAAATATTCACCCTTTTCTGATAAAATCCATGTTTGCCAATTGTTAATTTCGCCCTGTACATGTAATAACTATATATTGCATATTGTGTACTAAAATTCGCTGTCATAGGGGAGGGCAAAAAAGGCGAAAGTTATAATGCGTCAAAATTTCCCGGTATACAGCATGAAAATAAAATGCAAGTAAATGATGCTTATGTAACTTGCCTCTGGACTCCACATTATTCACCTTGAACCCTGATGACCTTTAATCTCTTTGTTCTTTTTAGATCTCTTACTCGCCTAAAACACCTTGATATCTTTACTTAGTTAAAGAGGAAATTTCTTGAAGAAAATGACCTAGGCAACATTCTCAAGTTGTGAAAACAGAATTAAGGTGTGAATGCTTGCATGAATATGGAGCAATGCATGATGAATGTACTTGCCTCTAGCCATGCTACGACTGTGGGGCCGTTCCATAGGGCAAATGGTGTACCTGCTTTCATGGCTTCCTCTAAAAGTTCATGCCTGGAGATAGAAGAAGAAAAAGGGTGAGAGGGGAGTGAGGTTGGCACACAGATTACATGCAGTATAGATGTATTGTATAGGGAAAGTAAAACCGGTTACCTGGTGGTTGGCACACAGGTTACATGCAGTGTAGATACATTGTATAGGGAAATTAAAACCAGTAACCTGGTGGTTGGCACACAGGTAACATGCAGTGTAGATATATTGTACAGGGAAATTAAACCAGTAACCTGATGGTTGGCACACAGGTTACATGCAGTGTAGATGTATTGTATAGGGAAAGTAAAACCAGTAACCTGGTGGTAAGCTAGAATGGTGTCAAAATGGGTACATTTACTCCTGAACCTCAACCAATAAGCAAGAAGACCTTACACCTGGACTGGATTGAGCCCAATCTATAATATCTGTTCAAATAGTGATGAGATGGGATGTGGGGGTGGGGGGTCTTATCATTTATCAATTAATCATTATTTTTTTTTCTACAAAAAGACAGTTCTCACTGGAGAATCAAGAAAGTTGTGGTAGTCTACGGGATGTGATACAACAGGGTCCTACCACACTGGAGTCATGATAGCCTAGCTATCAAGTATGATACAGCAAGATTCACTGGATAGAAACTGATAGTGTCACTTCCAACAGGCCATTCCATTTCAGGAAATTGAATAAATATAAGAGAATTCCAGTTTTCTCAGAGACATGCATTTGTATATATGGGTATTGTCCAGCTCCGGCAGAAGACATCATTATCAATGAACATAGCTTGGACGTTTTAAGACATTCACAGGATCAAACAGATTCTTCCACGTTGAGATTGTAAGATGCAGAATGCAGAGTGACACAAAGTGATGTCTGGAAAACTGAAAGGAACAAGCTATTTATACCTTTAGAACAACATAATGTTTTATTCATCAGGACCTTCGGACCTAAATCCTCTGGTGAATTGATCAGGACCTGCCACAGACTCTGGTCAGGTAGCAGAATACAGTAGAAATGGCCCGACTCTGATAAACAAGGCACATGTCGAGGAAATGTAAACACAGCGGTTTTACCCTACACAACACATGTATACATGTATATATATTTGTAAACTGCATTACATTTACAATACATATAAAGCACTGAGAAGTGTATAAACCTCTTTTTTCTATGTATGTCACTTGTGTGAAAACCATGGTTACCACATCAAAAATTACCAAAAAATGCCAAAAAATGCTATTTTTAACCCAAAATTTGACCCCCGCAAGTAGTAATTTTTTTCCTAAGCTCTGTCTGAAATTAAAGATTACCTACCTGGTTGCAGAATTATCTGGGTCGCAGTAAAATTGTAGAACTTGATTTTTTGCAATTTTGCGTCGTGTGCTGTTGTCAAAATTTTACCTCCTGTAAAGCTAGCTTTTCATGTGTACGCACCCTTTCGTATTATGGCCAAAATTTTATTCTCGAACCAAAGAAATCTTCTTTCTTTTTTACAAATGTGAAGCTCACATAGCCCACTTCATCATGCTTATACCAATTTTAGTACAGTTTTATTTTTATATTTTTTTTACATATCATTATACAGGGGTTAGCCATTTAACAAAAATATCACCCATGGCCACAACCCTCTACTGTACTCTGCTACCTTATACATCACTTTTTTTTCCCCAAAATTTAATCAAAACCTTTTAAATGTCTGGAAAATGCGACAATGAACACAATGATGTATCCGTTTCCTTTCTCACTTTAATAGTGACCGAGTAATATGAATTCTCCTGAAAAGTGTATTTACCAATTCTGCTCTCAAACTACCAACAAAGGGAGGTAATCTGAAAAATGAAAACTTGAATAGGTTTGTAGTTTTCATGAATAAAATTTCTTTTTGGGTGAAATATGATGCCTTGAGATCATGTGCATGTAGAAAACAAACAGTACAGTGATACTATGATGTTACTGTCTTGTTTGATGACGTCATAGTAACTGTGATGTCATCATAACTATGACGTCATCAATGGGCATCTATGACATCATCGAGGATCACTGATATCAAAATATTGAACACTAGGAAACCCATCTCAACAACAAACTAGCAACAGACACACTTCCCGTAACCGATGAACAGCACAGAAATGTAAGATATTCTGAGAAATCAGACAAGTGCCACCATAGCAACCGTTATTTACTTTCCTCGCCTAGAATTGACAGTGACCCTCAGAAATTGTTCATTTAACATATTTCGCTAGAAAAAAAAGATTTTCTTCAGCTGTAATTATGGAAATAAAATTTATTGACATTACTGACTTTGCTTATTTCATCTGTATGCTGAATCAAGTGGAAAAAAACATCTAAAATAGTGTAATTAAAATGAAAACAGATATTTTACCCATTTTTACCCATTTTCAATAAATACAACTTTATGTATTAGTAACCATGGCTACCGGGTGCTGAACTGAGTGAAACAGACTGAAATCTAGTATGAATGCATCAGGAGATAGCCTGTGAACTATTTGATGTTTGGTATCAACTTTACCAATAACATAATTGACACATATGTGATGAATTGCAGAATTTCACAAGTGCCTGTGAAAGCGCGAGTTACCTCTCTTTATACATCCACAGGTAACAGGCTAATGACCTATATATAGACCTATCTATGTAACGGGTTTTTTGGCGTTTTTGAGTAGTTTTAAGTATTAATGAATGAAAGTGAAGCTGAATCAAGCATAAAAAGGGATTTTTTCAGAAAAAATCAAGTTCTATGTGTATATGGTAGCAGAATACAGTAGAAATGGCCCGACTCTGATAAACAAGGCACATGTCGAGGAAATGTAAACACAGCGGTTTTACCCTACACAACACATGTATACATGTATATATATTTGTAAACTGCATTACATTTACAATACATATAAAGCACTGAGAAGTGTATAAACCTCTTTTTTCTATGTATGTCACTTGTGTGAAAACCATGGTTACCACATCAAAAATTACCAAAAAATGCCAAAAAATGCTATTTTTAACCCAAAATTTGACCCCCGCAAGTAGTAATTTTTTTCCTAAGCTCTGTCTGAAATTAAAGATTACCTACCTGGTTGCAGAATTATCTGGGTCGCAGTAAAATTGTAGAACTTGATTTTTTGCAATTTTGCGTCGTGTGCTGTTGTCAAAATTTTACCTCCTGTAAAGCTAGCTTTTCATGTGTACGCACCCTTTCGTATTATGGCCAAAATTTTATTCTCGAACCAAAGAAATCTTCTTTCTTTTTTACAAATGTGAAGCTCACATAGCCCACTTCATCATGCTTATACCAATTTTAGTACAGTTTTATTTTTATATTTTTTTTACATATCATTATACAGGGGTTAGCCATTTAACAAAAATATCACCCATGGCCACAACCCTCTACTGTACTCTGCTACCTCAATACTGCCTAGCACAGTCACAAAATACATCACTAATTTTATAACTTTCATACAAGAATCTTCAAATTCAATTCATTATAAACAGAAACGTAATGGAGATTTCCAAAAATATTAAAAAATGTTTTTAATATTTAGAACCATATAAAGTGAGATTTTACCAGAACTGACATCTCTTAAGTAAAAATACTTCAGTAATGACATTACAGAGTTATGCCCCTTGACATAGAATTGGCAATCTATATTTTGATGAGTTTCTAAACAGGAAGGCAAGCTGGCAGTCTTGTGTGTTAAATACTGAGCTGATGGTTCTACATTAATACTTACTTCTTCTTCTTCCTCCTGTCATACTCTGACTGTCCCAGACCCAGTGTCAAGGCATCCCCAGCACCACCATCTCCCATATCTGTAACAAAGGGCAGGTCATACATAACCATGGCAGCAATGTAAGTTACATATAACCACAACAGCTATGAAATTACACATGACCACAGCAGCAATGTAAGTTACACACCACCATCTGCCCAAGAAGGGGGTCCACACACCTAAGTTTATACAAAATGATTCTTTTGTCCCTAAGCATGCTTCGACTGCATTTGGTTTTAATCCCTTCACTTGTATAGTAGGAGAAATTTATTCCTCTATTTACCCTATTGGCCCCGCGCCTCTGCCCACAGAGGAGCCACATCCTCCATTTATACAAACATGAGGCTCCTTTGTCCAAAGATGCTCTAGAACAAATTTGGTCAAAATCCTTTTATTTGTTGCGAAGAAGATTTTTAAAGATTTCCTTATTTTCCCCCTATTTCGCCCCGCCCCTCTGCCCCCAGGGGGGCCATACCCTCTGTTTATGCAAAACTGAGAACCCTCTGGCCAATGATGCTCCAGACCAAATTTCCTGTAATGAGCCAGGGGCACCCATCTGCCCCAAAGAAGGCCCACACACCTCAGTTTATACAAAATTGATTCGTTTGTCTGTAAGCATGCTTCAGACTGCATCTGGTTTAAATCCCTTCATTTGTACAGTAAGATAGAACATTTCCTTTACTTCCCCTATTGGGCCCCGCCCCTCTGCCCCCATAGGAGACACACACTCCGTTTATACAAACTTGAGGCTCCTTTGTCCAAAGATGCTCTAGAACAAATTTGGTCAAAATCCTTTTATTTGTTGAGAAGAAGATTTTTTTTAAAGATTTACCTATTTTCCCCCTATTTGGCCCCGCCCCTCTGCAGCCAGGGGGACCATACCCTCCGTTTATAAAAAACTGAGAACCATTTGGCCAATGATGCTCCAGATAATTTGGTCAAAATCCTCTGAGCTGTTAAGGACAATGTATCATGACTCTAGTCCAAATGGTTCTTAGGATATTGTTGTTTGAAGTTTTTAACATATTTGATCCCTGTGACCTTGAAACTAGGTCAAATTCATTTTAATGAGGAAACTTTATAGCACTCCATCCCATGTACCTACTGGCCAAATATCATGACCTTGGGCCTTATGGAACTTGAGAAGAAGATTGTTCAAGCTTTTAATCCATGTTGACATTTGACCCCTGACCAGCACTTAAAGTTGACCTTTGACCTTATGACTGTAATATAAAGAAAAAAATTTGCACTGCTGGTCTACATAACATACCCAAGTATCATGACTCTAGTCCAAATGGTTCTCAGGATATTGTTGTTTGAAGTTTTTAACATATTTGAGCCCTGTGACCTTGAAAGTAGGTCAAGGTCATTTTAATGAGTAAACCTCATAGCACTCTATCCCAGGTACCTACTGGCCAAATATTATGACCCTGGGCCTTATGGAACTTGAGAAAAAGATTGTTGAAGCTTTTAACCCATGTTGACCTTTGACCCCCGACAAGCACTTAACATTGACCTTTGCCTTCATTACAGTAATTAAGAAAAAAAGTTGCCTGCTGGTCTACATAACATACCAATGTATCATGACTATAGTCCAAATGGTTCTTAGGATATTATTGTTTGAAGTTTTTTAACATATTTGACCCCTGTGACCTTGAAAGTAGGTCAAGGTCATTTTAATGAGGAAACTTTATAGCACTTTATCCCAGGCACCTACTGGCCAATATCATGACCCTAGGTCATATGTAACTTGAGGAGAAGATTGTTAAAGCTTTTAACCCATGTTGACATTTGAACCCCGACTAGCACTTAAAGTTGACCTTTGACCTTATTACTGACCACAACAACAATGTTAGTTACACACGACCACAACAGCAATGTAAGTTACACACCACCACAACAGCAATTTAAGTTACACATGACCACATCAGCAATGTAAGTTACACATGACCATGGCAACAATGTTTGATTGTAACAATGTTGCCACGGTAATGACAGCTTCCAACAAAGCTGCTTACAAAGAAAATTTAAACATTTTATACTCATAAGAAATTTAAGGTAGAAATACATTATATTTCTTCTAGCAGATTGGTCCCTGCCATAACAAAAACAACAAAGCTGTACAACGTTGATCATTAACAGGACGATTTTAGTAAGGAATGTGAGAAGAAAGATCTAACCTTGCACGATAAAGTGTACGAGAAGTTTGTTTTAGACATAGATTTATACACATACACATAAAAGCATTTGAAAGACAAATTGGACTTACATGTAAAAGCGTGTTAGAAGATTAATTTGGACGTACATGAAAAAGCAGTCAGAAGATTGATTCCGACGTACACACTAAAAGCGTGCGAGAAGATAGATTTTGACGTACATGTAAAAGCGTGTTGGATGATAGATTCAGACATACACACTAAAAGCGTGCGAGAAGATTGATTCAGACGTACACATGTAAAAGCATGTTAGAAGATTGATTTGGACGTACATGTACCTGCGGGAAGCAACTCCCTGGTTATACTGTCCTTGGCCTTGCCCTTCTCCTTCTTACTGAAAAAGCGACCGAGGGAGCTCTTGATGCCCTTCTTTTTGTTTTTGTGTAGGGAGTCCTGACTGCTGTTATTGCTACTGAAGGGACTAGCAGCTACCTGGGTCGTGTCTATCACTGGCCGACTACAACAACAAGGCAGATTTAATCGAAACATCTTATAATCTACTAACAAATCCTGGTTTAATAAGTGATTGGAAATTAATAAGAATTGATACCATTGCTTGTTGAATCCAAAAGAAATCTATTAAATTTCCAATGAGAAAAATTTGCAGGATTTAAATTCAGATGCAGTTGATATTTGTGTTTTCCAACGGAAATTTGAAGGAATTCAGTTGATTATGGCAATTCTCTCTACGACTTATGTTTTAGAGAAATTTTGATATGCATCATTATAGACACATCCATCCGTGCATGTACAGTAACACTTACAAAGCAACACAATTATAGTAAACTCTAGCTGACAACAATGTCAAATTTTGTCTCCTTTCAAGAATTTGGTTTATAAACATCAAACTTACAACAAATTATGTCTATTGTAAATTAATTCTTAGGTTATGTGTGGTTCGTGAAAAACATTTTTTTTTTTTACTCTGGTTAGCTATGATGCAAATGTAACCAAAATCTGAAGTTTTTCTTTTTTCTATTACATATATAATGAACTTGGTAACATTGGACACAAATAAAACTATCATTATACAAAGATATCTCCGGAATCACAAGCTGACTTTCAGATTTCATGCTGCTGTAAGGCAATGAAATGAATACCCTTTTTTTGTTATATACACACCTTGGTGTGTCCTCACTGCTCTGGGCAATGGCAGCCGCGACCCTCTCCAGGCGAAGAGATCGTGGGGTAGGGGGACTAGACTCACACTTTATCTGACGAGATTCCTCATCTATTGCTGTGTCATCGCGGCTGTACTGAGGCTAGAATATGGGAGTAGGCACATCCTTAGCAAGGCTACCATGGTAGAGAAATGTTACATAGCACTACAGGATACTAAAGTGCTAACACACATAACTTAGTTAAAATCAGAATAAAATAATTGCAATAGCTTACATCATACATGTATCAACAGGTTATCCTACTAAAGAGTCAGTGGTATCTATCAGCTCTAATTATTTATAATGATAATTCATTTGGCTGCCAATTTTGGTATTATATGACCAGGACTATCTGTAGATCACATGACTCACAACACTGCGCATCACATGATCAACAATATTTATTTACTGTCATGCTGCTCTTATTCCTTAGATTCTACACTGTTGACTACCACACTGGTACCACACTCCATACAGCGGTCAAACACCACCACCTTCAGGTATCTGTTTCCCCATCATAAGGACCGCCATCTTTTATAACTCAGTAATAACTGCAAACTCCATCAGCCTCTTGTTTTCATTAACACCTGGTCATCTTTTTGTAATTCCTTAATCAATAACTTTGAAACACTGCACAAACTTTCAAATTGATCAAAAGACTTCCTCATGTGATCGAAATGAAAAATTTGTGGAGAAAAATAACAAAATACAAATATTTGCAATGATCTGCAGTAGAGCTGGTTCCGTTCTAAAAAAAATGTTCTTATATGAGAATTCCATTTTCTGCCTAGAGAGCTGAAAGTCGTGGTGATATCCCGACCATAGTGGTGACTGTGAGGTCACACATCGTATGTGTAAACTCTGTGTGGGACTGCAGGCTACAACATTTAACATTCATGCTCGTCTGCATACTCAACCTTTATGTCCCGAGTTATAAGTATATAGTTTCTCCCGAGGAGTCCCTCCCATCACACAACAAACATTGTATTACCCACAACAGCTGTGACAGTAAATTGTTACCTAGTTGACAGTAAAGTACTAGTGAGACTTTTACCTTACTTTTGTACCATGGACTAGGGTAAGTAGTGTACCAGACTACCATTCAGAAGTAACCATACTTATGTTGACCTTGTCGCAGGTTGTTATTGATGTGCTGAGGAAAATGCCTGTTTGACCAGCCATTCAAGCTCGCTCGCAGTCTAGCATCTCATGTTAGGGAGTTAGAATTGTAAGCGCATGTAAAGTATAGCAGCAATAAAGTCAATTATTCCAGGTTCCCAAATCAGAGTTAGTCAAAAATGGAGAAATTAATGTGTGTACACTAGTAATGATTTACTCTTTACTTATTACTTGCAGAAACTGAAGTTTTTCCTTCTGAACCTTATCAAGGTGGGATATCGTAGCATTCACAGAATTTAAGTTGCGGCCTTTTTACAGTTTAAAGATGCCAGCATATTTTTGGGTTGAAATTATGAATTGATGATATTGACGGGATATACTGTATTTTTACGTATTTAATTGTAATTGTATGAAATACAGGCCAACATGTATTGAAAGCACAGCAGTTTATACTGGCAAGATGAGTAAGTACAGTTAACTCCGTTGATATACACCGTTATTTGTTTTTGGTCATCGATTCTTAAGGGTTCACTGTTAATTATGGTGTTTTAGTGCGAGTAACACCAATGAAATGATATTGATGAAACAGCACTCATGAAATTGTAGTAATCTGAACAATTTATTCAATATTATTGTGAATATTATTTGAAGTGTCAGGGACACTGAGATATATAAAATGTTGTACATGTACTTGTAGTAACAATACCTTGTGTTAAATGTGTTGTACTCATACTAACAATATTCTCATTTTGTACCTGAACATACGACACAATCGTGTATACCGGTATACATATGCAAGACCACACACTTGTGTTTTTCTAACGAATCAGAAGGCACAAGTTTATTGCACAGACGAATATATACGTCCGCACAATAAATGAGTGCTTTCTGATTCGGTAGAAAACACAAGTGTGTGGTCTTGCTTTTATCACATACCTTCCGTATTTGGTAGAGATCGATACAAAGATTTTATAAACTTTGATATTTCTTGCAAATACAGGGAACTTTTCAGTTCGCCATGACAAGGGGATTCCCATAAAATGTAGTTCCGGCTGGTAGATAAATACAACTTTCCGTATTGCACATGTGCAATACAGAACGTTGTATTTCATGGTCTGAAAATTGCTTTTATTACTATAACACGATTCATTATAAATTATATTACACACACAAATTATTGATTATATTACTGTAAATATTGAATATCATAACAAAGTTACTGTAATGTATACACTGTGTATTACCAATAAAGCTACTGACACAGTTATCATACACTGTAATACACATAACTTATACACATGTATCTTATAATTCCATATAGGGTGGATAGGTGAATACATGTCATCCCTGATGATTCATAATGAACTATTCCAACCCTTGAATTGGAAGAGTTCAAATGTGTCTTCAGGGGTGAATGGGTTAATTTCTATTTATAGATTCAAGAGACAATACAGAGGACCTATATATAGACCTATGTTATAGTATACACATAAAGTGGAATATATATGTGCAGAAACTATCTTTATAGTGTGATACTTACATAGTTAGAATGCAGACATAATATGACTATTCTGGAGTTAAACTTGGAACATTGGTTTGTTTTGGTTTTATTTCCTTTTATCAGCTATGGTCATTTAAGGACGTCCTAGGTTTTGGTGGCGAAGGAAAACCTGAATTCCCGGAGAAAATCACCGACCTGCGGCCAGTACCTGGCGACTGCCCCATGTAGGCCTCGAACCTGCGACCCAGTGATGTACGGCTAGTAGAAAACTTGGAACAACTTTGTGATAATTCTGATGTTGCACTCTTCTTTTAAAAAAATATTTGTTAGGAATTCTTGCTCTAGCAATACACTAATTACCCATATGGCCTGAGGCCGTGGTTACTGCCTCTATAAACTATGTCACTATCTGTGAGAAAGCATAGTATACTACATTCTTGTGTGTCACCAGAACTAGCTGATATTGTAAATAAGAGTATCTAGTTAAAGGGCACTGTAACACAGTATCATGTGCGAGGAAAGGCGGGCGTGTGTCTGTGTGTCACCAGAGTTAGCCATGTTGTAAAACGGAGTTTCTAGTTTAAGTATATTGTTATGAGGAACGAGTTACAAGGAAAGGCGGATGTGTGTCTGTGTCACCAGGGTTAGCCTATATCATTACGTGGTACGAGGTGGGAGGAAAGGCGGGCGTGTGTCACCAGAGTTAGCCGATACTATTACGAGTTACAAGGAAAGGCGGGCGTGTGTCACCAGAGTTAGCCGATATCATTACAAAGTACAAGGAAAGGCGGGCATGTTTCTGTGTGTCACCAGAGTTAGCTGATATTGTAAAACGGAGTTTCTAGTTTAAGTATATCGTTACGAGGTACAAGGTGCGAGGAAAGGCGGGCGTGTGTCTGTGTGTCACCAGTGTTTACCTGGTTAACAGCGCCGTCAGCAGCAGTAGTGGCAAGCTGGGGACTAGAGGAAGAGTAGGTATACAGGTGGGATGTGGACATTCCTGCCGGGGCCTGTCAGAGACAAATGCATACAATACACATCCTAGCCAGCAGATCACCCCTAAAGTCTAGCCATTTGCTAAGATCACCTTATATCATCCATTAAAAAATATTTGTACGTATTTGATCAGCTACATAGCCAGTGAAGCCAACTGGTTTGTTCTTTATTACAATAACCATTCTACACTCTATCCCATTCCTATCTTTTACCTTTTTATAATTTTGTCAAGCAATCTTTTTCGATCCCCCCACCCCCCATATATATTAAGCAGTTTTCACTTAACATATGAAACCTTAAAAAACAACTTTGCTAGTTGTGTAGGTCCTGATCTGATCTCTACTGGTACAATCAATGACTTTTTCTTTAATATCAAGTAGCTCAGGAGTTTCTTTTATATCCATTATTTAAAAATGTGGGGGCCAAGGCAAAATGTTTACACATTATAACCTCAACAAAAACACTATGGACCACAAGCTATCAATTTTAATAAACAATTATTCAACATGAAAGCTATAATCATGTGTAGCAATCTTAGTCAAATTTGGCCAGTTTAAGAAATTGAGAATTTTGAAAAATTTAATGTAGTTTTGCTCAAACAGATTGGAATGAAATAGAGTGTATTATGACACTTTAAGAGTTTTAATTCTATTCAATTATTAGAACTTAAGTTACTTAATATCTTCTTTCTTAAAGATTTTCACATACTGACTTATTCATTTATCCATAAAACTTGAAATATTTTATATACATTGACATTTCTTTCAAAGCTTATAAAATGAAAATAATAATAATAATTTATGGTAAATTATTCATTAAGTGTCATAAAATAAATATAATAATTATAATTTATGGTAAATTATTCTCTAATTGTCATAGGATTTACCTTACAATAAAATTTCTCATATTCAATAATCAAAGAAATCAAAAAGAACTTATTAAAGCATTACAAAAACTTTGAAGAAAATTTTGGAGAATCAAGGATGCAAAATTAAAAAAAACAACAATGCTTAGTGTATTTTTCACTGCCACAACAATTCTACCACTACACTCAGATGTATGGGAAGAACACTCACAAAGTAATGCAGATATATACGTCATTTACAAAACTAACAACTTCAGGCAAAAATTTATCATCCACTATTTCATGTTACATAAGAGTATTAATTTTATTTTACAAAATCTCTGGAAATGTTTCTTTCTCTTGATATTCTAACATCATGAAACCACTTCATAATTTAAGTTTTATTTGTTTCTATTATTATGAACACAATGCACTCATATTAGTTTTGGACTGTACTGCCCAGTCACTGTCTTAATTGCCTTTTTCTAACATTATAAGGTGCAGAGGTCTATCACAACTGATATGCAGTATTATCAAAATTGACTTGCTATATATCACAGATAATGTAGGGTAGGATTCACTGTGTCTAATCATCGAATGTGTTATTTTATTATTAACTGTCATTATCTTTCTTATCATACAAGATAATGTGTACATATTAATTATTACCGGTGATGATGCTACAATTGAACCCCATTATACTTGGTCATTACCATTTAGAAGTAGAAGTACTTGTTCAGGGTATTCTGGGTAAGAGATACAGAACTTTATTTTCTAAATTATTTTTTACTTTTTCTTAACCATTCTATGTTTGTTTTAGCACATTTCAAAAAGTTCAAAGAAATCAACTATTGAAGTTTTTTTAACAACTTCTATACTTGAAATTTGTAGTTAGTTCTAGCAGGTTAGATACTAAAACAATTACTTTTTTATAATTTAGATGATTAGTGTTATATGTCTGCTCCTTTATTACCAATCATTACTCTACACACAGCTAGCATTAACTAGTGCTAGATAAGCCACAACATTAACTAGTATCTCTACAACAGCACCACTTGTTCAAAGCCAGATTAATTCAACAGTCATCTGATTTTTTCCATTGCAGACATTTTTGCAAATCGCTTAAATGATCCCTTAGGATAGCAACACAACTGAAGATTTCTTCCCGGCAATCAAACTTTGAACACTTGGCCCTTGTAAATCATAAACATGCATTCGTGATCTGAAACGAAGTTTATGCAAGGGAGCTTTAAACCATAGGGAGCTCCAACATGAGACTTGGAAATCAGTTCAAGATGACAATACCAAAACAGTACGACATCGATCATGCTGTGTGACAGTTGTCATGGTAACCTTGCTCTGTCTTTTAACCATTACTTATGTTGGAATACGAAAATTATGCTAAACTTACTATAGCAAACAGTAAGTTTTTCGAAGAAGCAAGCTCATGGCATACCATTCCAAAATCCTTTGAGATTTGTCAGGATTTGTTTGGCTAATTCATGAATGACTTTTGAAAGAAGTTCAGCTTGTTTTGCCAAGTAAATTATAGTCTGGATAAAAATGGGCGTAATCGTTCCATTTTACTTGGTTTATTGACCCGTGTGAAACAACTGTCTTCAAAAATCCCTGGACTTGATCACTTGGAAGGCTTCAATGGCTATAAACAAATTCTAACTAATAAATATTTGAAACACAATGAGCAAAAAACTTAAATATATTGAGGTGATCAAATAGACAGAAGGAAAAAAGATGGCAGTGAAAAAACAATGAAATAAAATAAAAACGTGACTTAGTAGTGCAGAAAACAGAAAGGGAAACGGATGAGGGAAAAAACAAACAGGGATGATTATACTGTCTGTAAAAGTGATAGATGTTTAATATATTTGATTATCACTGGATTATCTACAATACAAACGGATAGTACCTCATTACAAATCGATCTCATTAAGCTTGTCAAAATACATCATGTCTGTGTTCTGACAAATTTTATTTAGATTTGATGCTGAAGTTGTATAAAAATGTACTTCAAATGATAAGTTTTTCCTATATATAGTGTAAACAGATCTTCATTAGTTCTAATTGTTAACCAAATCCTGAGGGAGAGTCATTTTAATTATTGTCAGTCCCAAACATTTTGCAATAATATGTTTGGTGATTAATACATTATATTCACACTACTCTCGTAGAAGAATACAAGTCTTGCCAATAAACTTGTCGGAGACAAACAACGTTAAGATAGCTACCAGAAATATTAATAAAAAAATATGAAACAACCACATCCACATGGATAGGATTTATTTTCCATTCAAAATGAGTAAGTTTGTTCGATTTTATGAATTTTTGTCTTTAATCATCTGCTGCACCCAGTATGCTAATGTGATTCTGACTTTTTCAAAGGGTTGCTCAAACCTAGATACTTTTAAGAAGTTCTGTAAGTTGTTGTATAACTAACACACAAAGGATGTAAACCATGAAATAGCTAGATTATGGCCGAATGAGAGCTTCTCATCAATTTGATCCAAACTATTGGATGTATATACTTTAAACAATGTTCAAATCAATGTTTGGTAGTAAAATGTTTTGATGTACAATCAAATTCTCTACTGCAGATTTAGATGCCTCCTATATTTATATATATGCTTGTGTAACTTTAGAATGCTCATTATACATTTACTGCAGAGCACCATAAGAGTAATTTTATAGATCATATGGGTTACTGTATAGATGTTGTATGCTATTTTGTTGCTGATAGGAAAATTATTTTTGATATTAATGGCGACTGTTCTAGATTCTGTATCAACTTGTCAAGGCGAGTATATGACCTGATTTTTTAAAACTTAGCTTTTGCAAAATCAACCATTCCATGACATAAGTCAGCAGCTTCTTAGATAGTGAATTTAGCTAAAACGAATCTAATTTTCTGCCCAGTTTTCTACAGCATTAAACTCCAGCTAAGTCATCAGCTTTATGTACTGGTCAAGTTAAAATCTGAACCCTGCAACACTGGACAGGGATGATAGTCGTGATGAAAACAGGCTAAGAGCAAGCGAAGGCGAGGTCTCTGGGGTAGGACAGACGCTAGATGGGCAGGCGTTGAAATGAGTGCCATGATCCAAGAGGAGGGAAAAGTGTCCCTGTGTCAGAAAGATACCATAAAAGATTCAGAGTGCTCATTGAGTCAATGAAAAATGTAAACATACAACATTTTGCACTGTGTTCTTGCAAACCACAGCTTAAATGTCAGCCGTCAGTAGAGAGCATAGCAACTATCCAGAAACAAACTTGCACCCTAAAACTGCTGCCGGTCAAAACTGTAAATAGGAAACTCACATCTAAGACAAAACTTTTGCGAAGTTTGATAATCATAAAAAAAGTACAGAAGAGAGAATTCTAAAGCCATAGCAAAGCTTTTGATTGGTTGGTCAAAGGCAGAGCATGCTTACCAATAACAACGGTAGTGGGAGTCAGCAAAGGGAAGGGCAATTTTAAATGTACACCAATAAAAACACGACAAATATATTGAGCAGTGCGTGTACGGAGGCGATAAAATAAGGGACCGCAGGTCGTGTCACTCATTGAGCGAGTGCTGCCATGATGACTTTGCCCGACTCCCGCACTTACAGTATGGTACTTTTGAAGGTAGTCTCTTGATTGATAAGTATGCGGGGTTGGAGTTGAACTCCCGCTAAGCGGAGGAGAGGTTCGCCACCTGTTGGTGATCGTATCTAGACTTCCGCTGCCTACCCTGCTCTCTAGTTCCTCTGCCCTCTGCTCCGTGCTGTCTTTCTCTTCCTGGATCAGCCTACAAATAACATCAGTACTTACTTAATTGCGGGATGTACACACAACAAAAGCACATTACTGTAGTACACACGACATCAGCAAAACACATCAGTGTGATAAACTGAAATACTGGTAAATCCAAATTCAAGCTTCACCAAACCTGTGACCGTTTTTCAACCAGTGTGTTCTGATTTATGAAAGTCATATCTCCTGGGGTAAACTGCTTGATAATTGTGTGAATGACTTTGTCTCAGCTATACCTGACTTAACATCTGTCTTTAGCAGACCTGGAAAACAGACTGTTATGGGAACCCAGCAAGGTACAGGCTAACAAATTGATACACTAAGTATAAACATTAATGAAAACAACCTCAGGGGAACTTTACTTGAATGTTTTTTGCAGTTGTACTTACCTGATTTCATTATTGATGGCATCCAGCTGTTCCTGCAGCATGTAGGCTAGCGTCTGTGCATCTGTGTGTCCACTTGGCGACAGCATGTCAAACGCACCAAGCACCGACTCGTTATCATCTGTTCCCTCGTTGTCGCTCGACTCGAATGCATGCTGCACATTGGCTAACACATGTGCCTGCTGCAACTTCTCCCATTCTTGTTCATTCAGTGTGTTTACCTGGCCATAAATAATGCAATACAGTTATAGACACTGTTCACAAACAGGAAATGTCAATCAACCGGATTATCAACCTACTGTGGATTACTTAAGTATCTCAGATCAATGAATCTGGCAAAGTACTGCAGCAGGTTATATGTTATAGAGAATGCAAGGTTATTTACACATGTGCTTAGTTCTAATTATTGGCAATTATTCAATATTGTGAAGGATATATTTTTATTACCTTCAAACTTTGCCAAGTTAAAATTTTAGTGAAATGTTTAGGTTTATTGCAAAAAATTGTCAAAAATTAAAAGATTGATACATAAACATTATAATTATAGTCTTCAAATGTCCATATAAAAGAAAATAGACTCCACTGTATACCAAAGACACCAAACAGGACAAAAACTTAAAAACATTTAAAACAAGAATTTCATGGAAGTTGATGTGTAACTTTCACCAGCTTGGTGATGAAGAAATAACATGCAATATTTTCTGCTATTGGTGATGAGATTTCAGCAGCATCCATATTGGCATTAAGCTTGAGTAATTAACTTCAGTAGTAAGAATGTTTCATGGAAATTCCATAATTCTTTTGTAAGATATCATGTTAGGTGGAATCATCTGCCTTTAGGTCACAGCAGCCTCAATAAACATGCGGGAGAATTTCCTGAGGATCATATTTGAGAAGGGGACATATATTAGAATATAAACATGGCAAATTTCATTGAAATCTAATTATTCTTTAAAAATATCATCCAGAAACCATAAGCCAATCAAATTGCAGCAGCCTTATTATAAAAAATAGTTACAAATTTGGTCCAGCATCAAACTTGAGTGAGGGAATTGGGTTATAAGTATACCAGGAAATTTCATTAAAATCCGATAATTTCTTCAGAAGTTTCATGAATATCAAATTTCTTCCAGAATTATCACGTGGAAACTTTATCTAAGATGTCAAAATCCAACAAGGCAACTGGTGGCCATACTAAATTTCAGATCTGGGTCAAAATCAAACTTCATTGATTATTTGATTATACAAATGTACGAGTATTTATCAAAAGTTTCTCATATATACTTGAGTCGAAGAAATCCAAGAGTCAGTGACAGCCATATTAAATCTCAGTTCTGGCTCAAAATCTATTTTCAGTAGGTAATCAAAACTACGATTTTGTAGGAAATTTCATGCAAATTTGGTGCCAAAATCTGAATTGGGCACAGATGCCATATGAATTTCCTATCCCGGTGAGAATTGATCTTGAGGGGATATTACAAATTATACTGTATTTGTCCAAAGTTTCATGAAAATAAAAGTATTCCTACAAGAGTGATTGTTCCAACACGTTTATACAGGAATGTTTACAGAGTGACCCGCATGTTTCCTTCTCTTCATAGGTGACACACAAAATTAACAAACATGCAAAACCATCCCATTTAAACACTACTGAATTATGGGTGTATGACACTTGTAGAACTAGCACTACTACAGAACAAGACCACATCTAGATTTAGAGTATGGGACACCTGTAGACTGACTTTGCCTGGGTCCTCCATCATGGTCTGTTCCCGGCCTCTGTTCATACGTCTCGACACTTCCATGTTGCTCTCCATGGGACCAACGCTAGATGTCATGCTGTATCCAGTCCTGTAGTCAACACTGTAACGAACAAGTCAGTGTTAGAAACTGGAAACTAGTTTTCCTGTCTGTTCATTTTGTATACATGTATTTCTAACTAAAGAATTTTAAATGTCTATCTTTATACCCTAGTCAACATCATAGTGATCAGAGCCTAAGGCTGCTGTTGATTTAGCACAAAATATCAAGGACAAAGACATGAATGCATACTTGAATCTCAAATCGAGAAAACATTTTCCTCTAGTTCGTTTTCTAAAGCAAGCGCATAAAACAAACTTCACTTATATACTATACAAATATTCTTCCTTTTGTGTCTTCCTAGTTATGTTGTAATACAGTTTATTTGGATATTGAACTTATTTCTTTGCTGTTGATGCCTATTGATGAGTTAGATATATACCCGGCCAAATGCTCTATCTGTTGGCGAAGTGTGTCCACTTCTCTCTTAGCCACAACCAGGTCATCATTTGTCCTCTCCTGAAAGTTAACAAATGCAGATAAAAAAATAGCTTTAAAGTATCTATCTTGTCAGTGACATCATATTTCAATGGTCCAACACTTTTAGATATTACTTCAAAATGCTTTCTTTAATCGGAAAGAAACACATACAATTTTAGAAACTAGTTTTATTATTATTTTAATTTCAAAATTAATGCCTTTTCTAAAAATAAAAATCCAATCGCATAAAAATAAAGCTTATTTTGTCTATTAGTATGATATCATTAATAAAGCATGAAACATCATGGGTTTATTCCATTTCAAGTGTTTCCCTGAAACCAAATTTAGTTTTATTTTTTTTACAAAAACAAGATATAATGAGATCATGGCCAGATTGTTCATGAAGCGGTAAAGTTACCTTTTCGTTCTGTGTCTCCTCCAGGGCCTTACAAATACGCTCTAGCTCCTGGGTCAACTGATTCTTGTCCTCCAAAGCTTGCATTCTCTCCTTCAAGTGCAGCTGCAGTCGCTCGTTTGATTCACTCAGCAGTTTGTCCACCGTGGCTGATAATCGACTGTTGTGTTCTTCATTTAACTTTTCTCTCTGTCTACCCTGTTAGCGGCATAATTCGCAATTAATGAAACTTAACAATTTTTTTGTCTATATGCTTTTGTAAATGCTCGATATCTTCTTGAACAATTAATACTGTTGTAAGTCATTTTGAAAACTTTTATCATAAATACACAAATATACATAAATTTTGTACAAAGGATTTTCAAAAATTTAGCAAATCATTTCCTTATTTCAGCATCATTCCAAAATCCTAATCTCCATCGCCTTTTCATTTAGTTACAGTTACGTACCTACAACACATACATCTAAATGGATCTAGGAAAACAAAAACAAAAGTCAGTATCTCTCCAAAAGAACGGTCAGGTTCAACCATATTTCTTTTGAGAAAGATAAACCTCTGAGACCAACCCTTTGTAGCTCTGTTTCCTTCTCTGATATGATGGATCTCATTTGTTGCAGCATCTCCTCAGCGGATCCGTGCCGCTCCTCGGCTTGAGACAGTGCCTCGAGACGTTGTTGTAGCTCCGCCTCCACAGTAGGGAGAGCTTCCACCTTTTTCATTGACTGCTGCAGCCGCTGTTCTGCCAACTCAAACTTCTCCTGCGCAGTTCGCATCTTCTCCTCACTCTGAAAACACATAGCGAGGACTTTTCGTTTTAACACACTTATTCTTAAGTCAATTTGGAGTAAATCTTTCCCCTCTGATTTCTAAAAAAATATATTAATCTTGTGAATTAAGAACTACTTAAGGAGATTGTTTGGTCACAAGTACAGCTGTTGATACAGTTACCAATTAAATATATCTCTACCAATTTCATCCGAGATTTAAATGTTATCACCTCAGTTACGATTGAAACGTACCGACTTCAGCTGTGATTCCTTATTGGCAAGTTCCGACTCTAATTTGTCGTTGAGATCATGTAATGATGTGGACTCTCGCTGAGCATTGAGGTAGCGCTTCTCCAATGTAGCTATTCTCTCCTCCTGATCTTCTCTCTGAGCCAAAGACTGTGAACAAACACAACAACAGCATGGAAGCACAGCCATCATATTCAGTAAACATTAATTATATAATATTACACAACAATTTATGACATCACATTGTGCAAGGTTCAAAGGGAAATAAATCACCCTTACATGAAACAGAATATATAGTTTTCAAAGTGTGACTGGATGAGAAACACACTGTCAGTTATTAAAGAAAATTACAAAATTATTATGTTTAATTTAGCAAACATATGCCTTATTCAAAAATTTGTTTTATTTCATGCCGTATTCTAAAATTATCTATGTTCCCCTGAATTAATTTCATTTTCTGTACTTCCGTTATAAAGATATTTCCATCACAAACAGTAATCATGAGACTGTGCTAACCTCTCTCAGATCTCGCTGGAGCTTCACCACCTGCTCCTGGCATTTGATCAGATCTTTTTGGTTACATGTGTAGTTCTCCTCCAGCTCTGTCATCTTATTGTTCATTTCTAACATTTTGGTTCTAGCCGACGTCAGCTCGGAATTCTGTTTCTCCACAGTATCCTGCAACTCTATCACTCGATTGACGTCTGAATCAGGATCAATGGACCCATTGGATAATCGCTGCAAATACAAAGGAAAAAACTATTATCAAACCTTTTATTGTTTATAGTAGAATATACTCACACCTTTACATTTTGCTTTTTCACAATGGGGCAAATTTAAAATGAAGTAGAATTATTTTTTGAAGATTTCAATTTGAAGAAAGTTTGCAACAGGAGGGTGATATCAGGATCAGCACTTGCCCAATTTCATTGGAAAAACCCAATGGCAAAAATTTAGCTTTGTGCAATTGTAAAGTGTATCTTAGAACAAGTTTATTATGACAACTATAATATGAAGGCTTTTTAATGATACAGTACAGTCTCGTTAACCCAGACATCTGGCTAACCTATAATCCAGACAGAGTTTTGAGGATTACGTTTCTTTCTTTTTTTTTAACTTTTCCCCATTGTTTGCATTATAGGGCTTTAGAGTGTCTTTTTTACCTTGGGCTGATAAAGTGTTAAGAGCTTGTTATATACCTTGGAGTGGGTAAGCAGTTTGGCTTGTTAGACTTGGACTCTTTTCAGTTGTATAATAAGGGTGTGGGGTCATGGTGGTAGTTGGGTTATTTACCCGGGGTAGCAAAGTGGTTCAGCGGTACAACCCATCTGATTGTATAACTGGGATAGAGGGAAGTGACCTTGGGTGGGGGGAGGGCTACTTACCTTAGGATAGTGCAAGTGGTCCAGTTTATTCTCAGATACTGTTTGTATTAACATAGCAGTGGGTTGGGTAGATGGTTTCTTATCTTGGGGTGGTGTCCTTGGTGCTAATGATCAAAGTTGGGTCTCTCCAGTTATATCACGGAGGTGGATGGGAGAGAAGCTCCTATTTGGGATTGTGTATGTGGTCTAGTTTATTAGAATGGGATCCCTCCTGTTATATCATGATGGCAATTGGGGAGCAGGTTTTCTACCTTGGGGTGATGAAAGTGTTTTACTTATTAGACTCAAATCTCCTGTTATATCATGATGGCAGGTTGGGGAGAAGGTTACTTCACTTGGTGTGGTATTAGTGTTCCAGTTATTAAACTCCAATACCTCCAGTTATATATTGGCAAGGGGTTTTGGAAAAAGATACTTTATATCCTTGGGTGGTGCAAGTGTCCCAGTTATTGGACTCCAATCCCTCGGGTTATATATTGTCAAGGGGTTTGGGAGGGGATTACTTACCTTAGGGTGGTGCAAGTGTCCCGGTTATTACACTCCAATCCCTCGGGTTATATATCGGCAAGGGGTTTGGGAGGGGATTACTTACCTTAGGGGGGTGCAAGTGTCCCAGTTATTACACTCCAATCCCTCGGGTTATATATCGTCAAGGGGTTTGGGAGGGGATTACTTACCTTAGGGTGGTGCAAGTGTCCCAGTTATTACACTCCAATCCCTCGGGTTATATATTGTCAAGGGTTTTGGGAGGGGGTTAGTTATCTTAGGGTGGTGTTATATAGGTGTTTCAGTTATTCGACTGAAATCTCCATTAATATCATGGTGTTGAGTTGGCAGAGGGCTACTTACCTTAGGGTGGTGTAAGTGATCTGGCTTGTTAGACTCCGACCCCTCTTGCTGTATGGCCTCCAACTTGGCTGGTTTGCCATCCTCTGTACTACCACTGGAATGACGGGACTTGCTCTGCTGCTCTCGTAACGTAAACAACTACAAAGGAAGGATCATGTCAAGTCAAAATATTGGACACACTTTTTTTCCATAACTTCATTAACATTTGTTTTGAGGAAATTAATTAATAACTATTTGGGGCGATATTAAATGCAATTACTGTCTTTCATGTTATTGTCAATATTTGAGAGAAAAAAATTAACACAAAAGGTCATTTAAAAAATCCCGCCAGGAATTGATCTATCATTTCTTGCAAATTACTCAGGTAAATCTCCAGAGGATTAATTAATTAAATATGCCTGCCCTTTCTTACCTCTTGATTAGCAGAGGCCAAATCCTCTTCTAATGTTGCTACCCTCTCAAGGGCTACTCTTAACCTTTCACGAACCTAAAATAAGAAAATAACACTCACAACAATGTTAAAGGCTAAAAAGTGTATTTCAAACACTAAACAATTCAACACCTCAGGACATACAAGAAACAATTAAATATATTCATGATTTGTTAACCCAAAAATGACAAGATAAGTGGAACAAAATCTGATAAAAGATAATTAACACTTAATGTGACAAACCTTAATTTGAAGAGATTTTCGACCAAGCACAATACAGTTTTTGGTTGGCAGCATTTTCATACTTCCTGTTCTAGCAAGGATATTTTACATCCCACCTGCAGCTCCGTACTTCTAAGTTTGATTGCGGGGTTGAAAGTGAAAGTTCTGCATATAGCCATAAATCAGAGCATAAAAGACTGATAAGATAAAAACGTTGATTTTTTTTTACTGCAAGATTAATCTAGGAATTCTGATTTCATTTTCATGAAAAAGGATTCCTGCTTATCATATATGAAACCCACTGTACACTAGCTATCTCAGCTGATCGCCATTTCTTAGGTGTTAGATAGCACACAAGCAGTGTAAACACCTTTAAATCTTGGGAGAATCGTGCCAAATTTTCTTTACAATACAAAATGCAAGTGCATAGCTTTCCAAGCAGCACTTATCAGTTGTAAGGTATACCGACAACAACAGCCCCAAACCCAAACCAATGTTGTTGTGGAGATCAGCTACGAGCAATGATGTATAAACACTCCAACAACAGTTACAGCATATTTATTGGCATCATTCACAGAAAGACTTCAAAGTCATGGAGGAAAAACAGGAGATTTAAGTTCACATGTAACGATAATATGTTCAGTGGAATTGTATATAAAGAAAGTCTTGGTAAAAATTCAAATAATAATGTTGATAAAAAATTCAATACAGAATTTCCACGCACCTTTGATGAGATAAAGTTTAAAATTATTGCACAGTACATAGAATTTCTTATATTCTTAAAAAAACACCAGCTGTATAATCATTACATTACCACCAATAATGATTTAACTTTATTTCATAGTAAAACAACAGGCACAGAGGGCCTGTATCGCTCACCTGAATATTTAAGCAGTCATAGCAAAATATTCTCATTAAATAATATATTGCACTACAAATATTTCCCTCGCAAACTTTGTCATCTCCATCTGTTGAAACTACCAGCCAAATATTATTATAAGATTATATGCTTTTTTATTCTTCTTCAGAAGTTGCTTGACATATTTTCCTCTGTGACCTTGCAAGTAGGTCAATGTCATGTTCCTTCTCAAATTGGTGAGCTCTATTCCAAAAAGCTACCAGCCAAATCTTATGAATCCATTCCTTTTAGTTAAGAACAAATCCTTTAAAATGTTGTTGACCTCTGTGACCTCTAAAGTAGGTAGAGGTCATTTTCATTCGCAAACTTTGGTAAGCTCTATCCCAGGAAGTCACCAGCCAAATATTATAATTTTAGCCTTTCGATTATTTGATGTTTTGACATATTTTACCCCTGTGACCTTAAAAGAGGGTCAAGGTCATTCTCAAACTTTGCCGGGCTCTATCTCAGGAAACCATCATCCAAATATGAAGATTCTATACTTTTAGTTCTTCAGAAGAAGTTGTTAAAAGAGTTTGACATATTAGACCGCTGTGACCTTGAAAGTAGGTCAAGGTCATTTTCATTCTCAAACTTTGTTTGGCTCAATACCAGGAAGCCATCAATCAAATATGAAGATTCTATACCTTTAATATGAAGATTCTATGCCTTTTAGTTCTTCAGAAGAAGTCGTTTTAAGTTTTTGACATATTTGACCCATGTGACCTTGAAAGTAGGTCAAGGTCATTTTCGTTCTCAAACTTTGTCGGGCTTCTACCAACAAAGCTTACAGCCAAATATCATGACTCTAGGCCTGTCCATTCTTCAGAAGAAGTTGTTTAAAGGAAAAGTTGATGGACGAGGACGTACGATGCACCATGACATAGGCTCTTTGGGCAGGTGAGCTTAAAATTATATCAGTTCACAGACTTTGAATGTATTATCCTTCTTACACTGCTTTGATTAGTTTGATCAGTTATTCTGAGTTAAGTAGGGGGAGGGGCCGTTAAGTGAAAGAGGATAGTTGAAAATTTAGTCAGTGGTAGGAAAGTTCTGTCCATCCAGGATGAACGAGGATAGTTGATAACTGTATAACGGGAAAAATTTCGCTGCAGTTTAATTTTCGCTGTTTTTATCCTCCGTAAAGGCAAATTTATCAGTAGAGCAAACATTTGTAAACAACATAATATCCATAGCAATTAAATATGAAGGGCAAATTTAATATTGGGCGAAAATGTGTTTTAACATCACAGGTGCAAATTTGACAGGGCGAACCTTTCCTAGTATACAGTATTTTGTCAGTAGGGGTGAGGTGTTGAGCCCAGAAAAGACGAGGAGAGTTGGTTACTTAGTCAGTAGGGGTGAAGTGTTGAGCCAAGGACTGATGAGGCGAGTTGGTAAGTTAGTCAGTAGAGGTGAAGTGTTAAGCCCAGAAAAGACAAGGAGAGTTGGTTACTTAGTCAGTAGGGGTCAAGTGTTAAGCCCAGAAAAGACGAGGAGAGTTGGTTACTTAGTCAGTAGGGGGTCAAGTGTTAAGCCCAGAAAAGACGAGGAGAGTTGGTTACCTAGTCAGCGGGGATGAAGTGTTGAGCCCAGGTCTGATGAGGCGAGTTGGTAACTTAGTCAGTACGGGTGAAGTGTTAAGCCCAGAAAAGACAAGGAGAGTTGGTTACTTAGTCAGTAGGGGTGAAGTGTTGAGCCTGGCAGGACTGATGAGCCCAGAAAAGACGATCAGGAGGGTGCTGGAAAACTCACCTTTTCATCTAAAGCTTTGTGGTGTTCAAATAAAGACTTGAGTGCTTTAAGCACCTCCACCTCACTGGACACACCTGCTGGGGAGGAAGCCTGCCGCTTGACCACAGTCATCCTGAGAGATCGTTCGTGTCTAGATACTAGACATTCTAGGTGTTCCAGAAGTAACTGTAACAGGGAAACAAACACAATTATACACAACTAATAACAAAAGTATGTTATATTCTATGTCAAGTTATTACAGATCATCTATTTCAAATTGAAATTCTACCAATACAACACTATCCACTACGACNCCCCCCCCCCCCCCCCCCCCCCCCCACATAATTTCTTTCTCGAAACTTGAAGAACACATTGTAACCATGACCCCCAGACAATGATATGCATCTGTCCAACTCTGATCAAATCTTTGAACATCATAAATGTAGTCAATATTTACAATCATGTACATATTTTAAGTTTGAAAAGTTTTGAAAAGGTCTGATAAAAGTGATTAGGTATACTCCAAAATCAAAAATAAAGATACAAAGGCAGCATATAGAAAATGGATCATGTTGTAGTTATTTCTATTTCATTATGAAACAGTTCACCAGACTTCACTGCTCCTAACTTGAAATCTGCATGTCAATAAAAATGATATCTACTCAAATTTCAAGCATAGGGAATTATCTTATTCATTTTTGTTGCATAGCTTTTATCAGTAGAAAGGAATGTGCTGATACTTTATAACTCTAAAGAAGGCTGTGGCGTTACTGTTTATATACCGGATATTTTTATATTGTTTCTGGAAAGTACGCAGAGTTAAAGGTGCGAACTCAGTTTAATGGTAGATTCAACTCATGATCAATGGATAGGTCACGTCCGTTTACAGGTAAAGTCGGTTAAAATTAGAACACAAAACACTATGATGCCTAATTCCCCTAGACCTATAGACAAGGATTAGCCTACACACCAAACCCTTGACCTGAAGACTATATCTGTCTATAACATTATACATGAAGAATAGGATTTTTATAATCATCGGATTAATTTGTTCAAAAATTCTGCAACATTTACCATATAATATACCAATTTTGGGTGAATCTAATGGCCATATGTCTACGATGATTACATGAATTGTTTTGCTTTTCATTTAATGGTACATGATATCATTCAGACCTAAAAAAACTAGAACAGACTTAGTAAGTTGAGTTCTTACGCTTTATTGATTGTTTAATGCGAACCTATTTTACATTTATGACAGTTGCTAAGGGCATGCAAGATTTTCTTTTCTTATAGACCGATTGTCTAGAGGTACAAATGCCAAGCAGGAACACTGATAAAATCAGATACATTTTATTTCAAACTTGGATATCTCAAGTATTTTGGTTACCTGGAAGTTTACTTTTAGTGAGAGGACAGCACTTTAGCTCTTTGAGTACCCCACATATATGGAAGTTTTTTCATGGACTTAGTGACCTTGACGTAAGAAAGCTAGCCTTAACATTGTACCCTTCAAACTTCATGTGCAGGGTTTCTCCAACACTGATGAAGATATCTCGCTTAACAGACACGTTTTTTGTACTTGTATCACGTCTGTCCCCTGTAACACCCCTACATCTGTTCGGTAAACACTGTATTTGATAAGTGTTTCCTATCTATTTTGATAAGAGTCCAAGCATATGGCTCAAAAGACAGACATATGCTGTAGATGATAGACGCATGATGGAAAACAAAATGAATCAGAACATTTTCGAATTTCATGTCTGTGATAGGTATATCATTTTCACCTCATTATCAAAACAATTTCAATCGTTATTTAATCCTTTTATATACTCAGTTCTGGTTTCTTGTGAACTGTATAAATTTTTAATTTTGGGTTCTCAAAATTCTTATCTCTTTAACTATTTATAAACAAAATTGCATAAATATGATTCCGCCCAGTTCACAGCTTCTGACCTAAACCTGAATTCTAGCCGTATAGCTGTGTAGCAAACTCAGGATATTATAAATATAATTTAACTATGATTGCAAGCTGTTAGACACTATTACTGGAGCCTGTCTATTCAATGTCCTTCCCTCCATCATTATCCTACAGGATCCAGACAGTAAAATGATCCCTATCAACTGCTGCTACTCATAGCTCGGTTAACTTTATCGACTCATAAATACAATTATTATATTAAATTTAGACATAATTTTTTCAGATTAAAGTGAACATTATTTTCTTACTTCTTCACATCAGACGATCATTATTACATCTACTCCTTTGAATACAGCCAAGATATATTTTGCCTTATTCATTAAACTAACAAGACTGTTAAAACATGTTTAATAATACATGTATATATACATATATAAATTGTCCTCGTTAGCTTTTTCATTTAAAATTTACCCAAGAGTTTCCATTCCAAAAAGTACAAGGAGACCTTTTTAATTCTACATATTCTATCAATCATTCAGTGATCACACTAAATTTTGTTATTGTCCCCTATTCCATTAAATGGGTCCCACTATGTTGAATTTTGCTTTCCCCAAAAATTCCATTATGTTCCATCAAAATCTGAATAACCCATTCCAACCTAATATCGTATTTGAACCTTACCAAATCAAAGACTGGCCAAGTCTATAGTTTAGATATGTAGGATGAATGAGTTAAAGGATTTCAGACTAGCATGTTAATTCATCACTGATAATTTGATGTCAACTCCTAATGCAATAGTGAATCATGTTGGTTTTTTTACCCTTTGCTTCAGTTTTATTGTATCTGACAGTTCTGAAATTAATAGCATTGTTGCTTCCAGCAGAGATATTCTCAAATCTTGTTTTCCATATTAGGAAATGTCAAAAATTGTGTACAAACATTTATATGGAAAGACAATACAGTGTAATTTGTGTTATTATGCATGAAAATTAAATAAACCCATGGAAACCAAAGTGTCTAACTTCAAGTAGAATATTGATTTTAAAAGTATACTGGGTTGACCAAGCTTGGCAGTTGAGTTCCTCCACAATATGTATTACTGTATATATCTAATGGCCTGATAACAGGTGGCCGGCCAATCAGCTGTCAGCATCTACTGCCATTACTCCATGTAATACCTAGCTAGCTAGTGCTGCCAGGAAGCTAAGATCTCCTCCCTGCTGTTTCACCAATTACAATGTATCAGTTCCACAAAACAGATAGCTTTGCTGGTCATTCACATTTATGCTAGATTTATTTTGATGTCCAGGATAATGTGTGAAATACTGAAAACCACATACATGTAGGCTATGCCAAGATTTTTGATTGTATATTTTTGTCTATCATATACATGTATATATATAAATTTATGATTGCGTATTAAAGTAATAAGTTTGTGTCACCATTTCTCAGTAGAATTTCTTTAAATTTTGTAGTTATATTGCTTTGAACTAAAGAAAAATGTATGCCACAAAAAGATTATAGGTTGTCAGAATTTTAAGGATTTTAAATGGAAATTTATATAAAAAGGAGTAAATTTTGAAAAAACAATGAAAGACACATAATGTCAATAACAATGATACTGCCATAGATTAGTATTGCATTAATGTTTATAAATTTAATAAATGCTGAAATTGTGTAAAATACACATATCTCGTTCAACCAGACACTTGATCACATGTAATTCATGAGTCTGGTCAAACACAGTGCTTTAGAATTACCATCACCACAGGGCAGTGTTTTTACTTTCGTTTCCGGACATTATGTCAACGCCTTTAAAATATTTGAAAGAATAAGGAAATTACTGAAAATACTTACCTGTACATGCATTCCTTAAGTATCCGTGTTTTCACTATTATCGACAAAAATTAAGAAAATAACAATTCTCCAGAATAATGCCAAATATTTCCACTGAATAAATCCTAACTGAGCACAAAGCCAACAAGGCTGACTGCAAAAGCAAGTGAGATGTTACCTGTCCATTCAAAACACTACAGGTTCACACTCAGGTAATCTGACTTGACTTGTATCAATAGCCTTGTAAACTTCATGACTTATTGTAAAATATCCAATGAAAATTGACTACATGCAATCATTATTGAGATTTGATTTTTCAAGATAATAGTTAAAACATGGATGCTACAGAAATGCTTGTACAGGTATTTTTTTCATAAATGAATACATTCAATGCAATTTTGCGCCACTCAAATTATGACGTCAAAAGTTGAAAAGGTATGTCTACCTTTGACCAATGAAATGATTTACCAGAAACCTGGTAAGCCACGGTATGATGTCACAAAACGATAGCACTGGGTTTGTGCGCAGACAACAAGAGTCTGGTTGAACAAGACTTATATACACATAGTAATTCCATCTAAGAGTTATCTTTCTTAAAAAACTTCACAGCAGTGAAATAGGAAGCCAGTTTCCTGAAGTAAAGAAAATTGCACACATGTGACTCATTGATAAAAAACAACTGAATTAATACCTGGATTGCTTTGAAATACTTTAATATTGAGAGAACACACTGTTCTGTCAATAATAAACATACAATATTCATCAGTTTAAGAATAAACAATGGACTCATTAGAATATGCGGAAATTGTGATATTGGATTTTCAACTAGGGATGTGCTTACTATTTCCGTTTATCAATACACTCATACGACTTTAACAAAAGCTTGTCTGGTACAATCTGGTATTATAATTACCTTGAATTACTGTAGATATATAAAACTGATTGTGAGTTTGGTACCCACTGTGGTAGGGGTGGAAAAAATGCACAGCCAGACCTGGGGTCAAACTCGGGACCCTCCAAACCTTAGACGATCACTCTACCAATTGTGCTTGCTGGTCGCCGATGATTGACCCCGACCAGCTCTGTTTCACCCACTCTGTGCCCAGGCTGATGATGGTTACCAGGTATCGCAGATCTAATGATGATTGGCTGGTTTTGTAATAGAACCTACCCTGAATGACACTGATCTTGACTGGCTGATTGAAAGATGGGTACATATATATATACCTACCCTGGTATTATTGCGTTCTGCCTTTAATTCGGAGACTTCTTCCTCTCGCTCCAGTAGCTGGTCTCGCATAGCATTCACCTCCTTTGCCAGTGATGCATACTCTTGCTGTAAATAAAGAAACAGCAAATGTCGTTATACAGTTATATACATCTTTGCAATAGTCAAATCCATATAATCTGGTTAATGCTGGTACTATAAACCATGTAACAAACAAAGACACATTCCAAAAACTGCTGACAGTGCATATATTTTTTTGAAGTAAATTGCAACTTTAAGACTGCATCAGATGCAAAGAAGATTGCAATGCAACAAAAAAAACCCAGAAAAATCTGTGACTCTTGAGATAAATACACGATTCAATCAAAATAGCATAATTCTGTCAGAATTTCATTGGAAGTCATATGCATCATAATGTTGAATTGCCTTTTCAAAGCATCTCTAGAACTGTAATTAACTTCCTGTATCTTCACTTCAGTTGGGATTATGAAATACACTTTTTTAATCAAACATATGACGTTGACTTTAAATACATTTATGTATTAATATTTAAATAACAGCTTGATTACCTCTGATCACTTTACACCTTTATGCATATGTGTAATACATTTTTTTTTATTGTTTTAAGATCAATTACCATTCTCTGAAATTTACAATATACATCCAGAAAAAGAACTCTATAATAAACCCTTACGTTGGATTCTGAATACTGTTCCTTAGGAGAGAAAAAAAATTATGATATATTATTACTTATTCCTTCACTATTTTATTCCTATAATTACTCATTATACAAAACAGATCATAAACTGTGTGTTAAATATAGACAGACAAAACCAATTTCAAATGGTTAAGTATATTTCCAATGAGGATATTAATCATAGTACAAAGTTTTCTTCCGTTGCCAATTTTCCAATGAAAAGAAAATCAGGATATCACGAAGTTCATCTTTCAATATCAAGATAGATATGATAAATTGAGGTGGTGTGCCAGGGCCATGAGAGCTGGTCCTCCAGACAACAAGGAGACTGTTACCACATGTACGCCCCCTAAAGTCTGTATTAATAACTTAACCCATATTCCAAGCTCCATTGAATGCCATAATGGAGACATCAAGTATGAAACAGGGATCTTTAATCAATAGAGACAAAATAAGTTTTAAGGAAACGTCAGGTCTGCGTACAATGTGGATAAGGATACTGTAACCGCTCCGTAAAAACCCAGGGTAACATGTAAAATGTGTATACATGAATATTGAGATACTGGAAACGCATTCACCAAATCTGAGGAAGCTTGCTTGTTGTATACAACATACTGTGTGATGTACATATTTTCTATCAGAAGATGTACATGTATGTGCTATCAGAGACGCACATGTTCTATCAGATAAGTGTACATTAGATGTACGTGTGCTATCTGTGATAAAACATGAACATCACAGATACAACTCAGCTGGACATCAAGTTTGTGTGGATGTACACAATTCACACACAGATCTAGACGTCATGTTCTGACAACACGAACAACACTTAGCCTATGTTACAGCAATGACGGGTAGAACCGAAACATGAATGTACAGTAAACGCAGGTCTGTTTGGGTTATGTATATATATTGACTTTTGTCATTATTAATTTAAATATTTATTAGAGGTAAGAAGTGTATTCAAACATAATCTTGGAGAGGCATCATGTGCTGTAAACAATAAATTTAATGGCAATTCTACGGCAAAAAAACAAAATATTAAATCCTTTACAATTTATTACCAAATGAGTCAATAAAAGTTTTTAAATACTCTATGACATGAAAATTAAATGTGCTGTGTTGTATAATTTATAAGATATATACAGTATTAACACCTAGTTAAGGTGGCATCAGTTAAGTTTATATATATCTATCAACATATTCTTATCTACATTGTACATGTATAGAATAATTGCATACATTGGTAGTGACATGAATCATGGAAAGGAAATATTACCTTGCATTGTATGTATTTCTGAAAGTGTTGTTGCAGTTCAAATTCTCTCATAGCTATATATATATAGTCTCATCATAGAAAATCCAACACATAGACTACAACTCATTTCTCCTAGTATCATCATGCTCATGATTGATCACAACATGATTGTACCTTGTGTGTGAAGATCTGCTGTTGTAACGGGTACTTCTCCCTACATGTACCCTGTAATATCCACAGTACTACGGTACACATCCAAGCTACGCTCTTCTTTGTGTATAACAATAATCAAGTGTTGATCAAATAATTTACGAAGCTACAGTTTCAAACAATACGTCAAAGATCAATATCTGTCTTTTGAAAATAACTGAAAGCTTCAAAGCATTAACTGGTGGCAGGTCTGTGAATGTCTTTATGTAACATGTATGGATCCAGACATATGATGTAAACTGTGTGAAAGTGACTGCACCAATTATTTTGTTGTAGATGGATATTCTTATGAACTAATAAAAAATAAATGTCAACTTAATTTTGCAGGTTTTATCCTTAACCTTTACTATTGTTTACCTTTTTTGTTACTCAAATTACAAGATGATTAATAATTCAAAAGGAGAATGGCATAGCCACAGGTGATTCACTAAGAGAATGGCAAAGATGAATACCTGTTTTTTTAAGGAAAGTGCAAGCTACATGTAAATAGAATCCTTCACCCCCTTGGTGGTGAGATGGGGATCTCGACCCGAGGGGGAAGATTCTTCAGTTGTAAAACTTGAGGCTTACTTTTCAGAAATGTTTACACAACTTATAACTCATTCCCGGAGGGTTGCGATCCCCCAACTCACCCCCAATGTAATGATGTAAGATTTGTTTTTGTTACCCTGTTGTCTATATCATATATATTGTAGTGTTGACATTTCTGGGTCAATAATACATTGCTCACGTGATGATCAATGCATGTTGAATGATGATGTGACGTCATACAATCGAAATGACTAGGAAACCCCCTCATCTCAACCCTAGGATTGGACCAGGATATTACACACTTGTTAAAGTGTGGATATATGTATGTCCAGGGTAATAAAAGAATTTGAAATAGGGGATATTTGATGGTTTCCCATTTAACACTACATATTTTTTATGAGTTTGACAGAATGCCCTTTTTTTTTTACAAGTGCAAATTAACACAAGTAAAAATATTGGTAATACTGTATACATGTAGTCGGACATAATTATATTGGTGAAATATATATTTGGTATATATATGTCTCTATATTAGTATAATAATTGTATCCAGGGCCATATTCTAGTGACCTCACACTTGACAACAAGGCTGTGAAGAATGCTTGCCTTTTTGAATGGGCTATGCAACACAATTCTACCATTTTTTACTATTATTTGGTATAAGGGTTTGGTTTGTTTGTGCTTTACATCCTATTAACAGCTATATGGTCATTTAAGGCCGAGACAGGTTTTGGTGGAGGAAGAAAACAGGGCTATTTGGAGAAAAAACATCGACCTGCAGCTAGTACCCCCTTTTTGGAAAGATTTGCTGACACAAATGTTTTAAAATTAAGTGACATAGTTATCATTGTTACACCTCAAGTGAATTTCTAGCTATTTGATTGGTTGGGAGAAAATTAAACAAAAATCTCTGTCACACTCCGATAATACATTGGTTTTAAGAGACCCTGGTGATATTGCCATGAGACAGTGAAAAATATCACATGCGCGAGAAATGTGCGTTCACCGCTTCGTTTCCCCACCGTGATGGTCACAAGAACTTTTGACAGCAACAGCCAATTTTATCAAGTGCCGGTGCGATAGCGATTGTAAACAGTAGACTATCAACAAACAAGATGTCATTATCGAGGTTTGCTGCCGTTTCTGAGCTACAAAGACTTTTGGTGTAACAAAATAGATATGACATTCATTAGCAGGTGACAGTGAATATTGTCAACTCTCAAAAACCCATGGTCACCCTCGGTTTCACCTCGGGTGTCAATGGTTTTCTCGGGTTGACAATATTCACAGTCACCTGCTAATAATGAATGTCATATTCATATAATATTATTACATTAGTGTATATAGCAAAGATGTACCAAAATATTACACTTTTTCAACTGTTGCTTCATCTGCATTTGGACAGAAAATCTATGGCTTCAAAAGAAGTGAATAGAAAGTACAATTCTGATTGGTCAAAAATGATTTAGTACGTTTCAATTAAATATTTTATTTTTGTCAACCTTTAAGTTGCAGATTTTGATTCCACAAGTAAATTAATGTTATAAGAAGCACAGAGTTCTGATATATGTACCTGTATCCAGGGCACCATTTACACTTTTGTTGTGTATTGGGCACATGACAGGGGTTTTGCCAGGTGTTTAGGGTCCATTACTACAGGGACCCATTCCCAATTGAAAAATGGCCCTCCATTTTCCCAATTTCAGTCTTTATTTTCCCAACTGGATCAAAAAGTTTCCAGTCATTATATAAGCAATGTTCCAAATTATTACCATCCATGAAGGAACCTCAAAAAACATAAATTAGGAAAATTTGAAATTGAATAAACAAAACACTGAAAAGTTATGTGTTACGAGTACAAATTAGTTCATGAAGTATTAAACCTCAAAATCCCCCCTCTCCCTTGCTGGTGGAGATTTCTGTTTATATCACACAGGAATGATTGATCTACATGCATGTATAATAATACTGGGGGGAGGGGTTACATTTTCCAGTTTACCAGCTTCCCCTAATAAATATGGGTTATTTTAGGGGGAGGGGGGAGGTTGGGAGAGAGGGAGTGTATAATTTCTAATTTTCTATTTATGGTAATCTCGACTGTAGAGTACCTTGAACTTGAATCGCACAGTGAGATATAGTTATGTGCAGGATTCCTAGATTAGGACTTATATCTATACACTGTGATGATACCAACAGAGCAAGTACATTATGTACATTACGTAATGATATTTCAGCTACACATACCGTTTGTCTATTAACCCTTTCATCCCTAGGTAACTTTGGTAGACTTTACCATACAATGATCTGGATTAGTCCATTATGGTCTACAGTGGTGAAAGGGTTATTGACATGTTGCACCGTATCAATAAACCAGAAAATGCAAATTGGTCAACAAAATATAACTGTCCATTTTACATTACTGCTAGCTATTTGAAATGTGTGCAGAATGTAAGTAGTTATGATGTGTCTATTTGTGCAGAATGTAAGTAGTTATGATGTGTCTAAACCTATGTTTTCATTTGGATGGTACATGTATTACTTTACAAAGCATGTATATGCTACAATATCATCCTCTCATCATTTTGATTGAAGATAAAAATCCTGACTGATAAACACGACCTTCAGATGCTCATTATCAACAAATGTGTTATATTGTTGACCAAAATTATTCAAAATGTCATCAGGTTTAATTTCTGCAGTGCCATACTTATCATACAAAAAGTACCCATTAGTTGTATATGACCGAAACTAGAACCTTACACCTATAAGTATACCTGATTGTTGGGGGGAAAGGAGGAGTGTACGTATAGAATCCACCACACACTGTATGATGATTACCCAGAGAATTTACAGGTATAGAATCCACCACACACTATATGATGATTACCCAGAGAATTTACAGGTACAGGTGTGCAGTGAACGGGATTCAAAATCTAGTCAGAAGTCTGAAAACAAAATTATTTATATGTAGAATAAAAAATTCAGTCATTTTAATTCCCACATGTGAAATAGCAAATACAATAAGATTCTTAAATCTGGACACACTGTATGGAAAAGTATGGCAAGCATTGGTTTTTGAGATGGAAGCTCTAACACATTAAAAACCTAAACCTTAGATCTCTCATAAAGTTCTATCATTCTTTACACAATTAGATCTGGAGTATATATTACAGCTTGTGTTGGGAATCCGTCAACCGATCAATTTTCAATTATTAATCGGTTAGCCTACCGTTACATAATCCTTAAAAAATTATATTACTTTTTTTTTTAACAATGGCATGGCTTTCCCTTTTATTAATACTTCTAATGAAATTTCAACTTTGAAGCAAACCCTAACCCTTTTATTTTGCAATTAATTATGTTTAAGTAGCATGATTGGTAAGAAGTTATAGTTTAGAGTAAAATGACATAGAACTCTCGTTCTCTCTTAGTGAAAATGAAAGTAGAACTCCCACTTCCGGTTTTGAAAACAGTCATCGATACTGACATCTCATAATCTATGGTCGGGTTAGATTAGATATCGATTATAATCGATCATCGGGACAATTAACACTAAGTAATTACAGCTAGCTAGGTTTTCAAAAATATGGGGTCAGCAGTGGCCGAGTGGTTAAAGCATCTGACCATGTACGATCACTAAACCGGCCCTCTATCATTGGGTCATGGGTTTGAGGCCTACATATATATTATATGTACATGGAACAGTTGCCAGGTACTAGCCTCGAGTCGGTGGCTTTTCTCCATGGAGTACTCCAGTTTTCTTGAAACACCAAAACCTGGCACATCCTATATAACTATCAGCAGCCTATTTCTCAGCCTAACAGATGCCAAAGTTTGAAATAAGTTATGTATATACATATATATATTGTAATGCAGTGGGATTTTCATTTTTGTATTATTGCAAATTCAATACAATATTCCTGTGTATTGTTCAACTTGTCTTTGACTTTGTTGAATGAGATTGCACATATTATGCTTGTCTAAACATTTCCACATACATTCACACTAAAATAATGGTTAAGTTTATGCTTATATTTATATCTCTATTATATATACATGATGTATTTGCTATAAATATGAAAAGTTATTTCTAAAGTATTGAAATGTGCTTATAAATTGTACAACAAAAATACACACAATTTAATATGAATTATAATTTTAAACAATTTCAATAAATGGACCTACTTCAGTACTGCGGTGAACATCAAACAAATCTGGAATGAAGAAAGCCTTGGAATGTGCTTTATTTCACAAACTTGATAACAATACATGATGGTTAATGCTAGTGATTCCAGGAACAGTCGTTGACAGATGGCCTAGCTACCCTTCTACAAATATGCCTAACCTATTTATTATTTACCTGGCCAGGAATCTGACCATGATTGTGGGGGAAATCTTGCCATACAGATCCAGCATAAGGTTGCCCCATATAATTACATACACAGCCTTCATCATTTAATATTATGTCCTGGCAAATGTTAGCGATGACTGTCCTTTGATTGGACACGTTGTCCTCCATTATAAACTAGCATACTAAATGTCCATTTTCAGTGATTTTAATGGAAACAAAATCAATCTTACAGACATGTTTCCATGAACATACATGTATTAGAAGTATACCATGCATACTAAGCAAGGATTCTTACAACTTTCAAATTTTCTAACAGCAATTACGGTAAAGTAGAGATTTATCTTGTTTGTTGATTAATTTCTTCAATTCATTTACACAAAAAAAATGTGTATACACAAGTAGAAAGCTGAATCTTGTGTTCATTTATAAATTTCCTGTTTTCAGATGCTTGAAAAATAACGGAAACCTTTCTTTTGAAAATAGCCGTTTCCTTCTTTGCTTTGTACGTACTTATAATTAATTTACTGATACATCAAATAATGTCACTGGTTTCTCTGAAAACTCCAAATCATGGAAATAAGCACAGCATTTTAATTTTACTTCATGCATCACACACCTACATGTATACTAGCCACTGCTCCTTAATTAACGTATTGTAACAATTGCACTATTTCGCTACTCATTTATCACAATCCCAACCAGATTTTTACACGACATACTGGATATTCAATTTTGAATGAAAATGTTGTGTTGTAGCAGTTTTGGTAGGAAAAGAAAGTGCAGAAATAGTTTGTGAGTGAACTGTTTAAACATCACTATGGTATATACATGTATATATGACAACAAGCTAAGCTACATTTGTATACATGTACGGTATAAAAGACAAGTGATTCAAATGCAACTGTACATGTACAAATGAGTACCAGTCACAGTGTCACATGAAATCTGTACTAGCCTACAAAACATGCATGTACATAAATAGTTTAATCAGTTTCAAAGTCTATAAACAAGGAAAAAATGTCAAATTCACCATAACACTATACTATATAGAAGTAGTGATGTGGCACATGTATACTAAAGGGATTATCAGTGATGCAGGGTAGTATATAGTATCCTACATGATAAGAATACATGCATATATATAGTTAGGTATATACATGAATGAAAAGTGGGGGCTAAGAAAATAGCTGACACAGCTGTGGTTACACCACAGGTATACACTACCACTTAATGTGGTGACAAATTACGTGAAAAGAATGCTGCATTTGTACGCATGTGACCATGTACAGAGGCAGTGATTCGCACACAAACTTGATCTACACAATAGCAATACTTTAAACGGAAATGATTATCCACTTTTTATACCATAGAAAATAATGAGACTTGAAAAAGAAATACATTTGTAAAAATATAACATCCACACCTCAGTGAAGTTTAAATCTGTACACATAAGAATACATCACTTCTTGAATCTTGTAATTGAAGATACTCTCATAGACAAATTCTTAAATTACAACCCTTAAAATTATCTTGCTTGTTAATAAACATTTTTGTAGAATGGTGATACCTTCATGTTGGGCTAACAAAATCATAATAATAATTTGAGGTTCTTATATACCGCTTTATCACAACCTAGTTTGTAGGTCGTCTCAAAGCGGTTCACAAATTATTATCCGTGGTATAGGGCCTTTGCATCCAGCCAAGAACATACAGCCGGAGCTGCCATTTCGGCGCCAACAGCTAGCATTCATTAATTCTAGCACTGCCCAACCATGTACTAATTTACAGCTGAGTAGACTAGAACAAGCAGAGTAAAGCATCTTGCTCAAATATACAACACAGTGCTGTGCCGTGACTCGAACTCGTAACCCTTCAGTCACGAGCCCGGCATCGTACCACTAGACTAGCTACCGTGCCCCAAAAAAGCGTTAAACCCATGTGATTGCATATGACTAAAAGCAGAGAAAACATTGGTTTTGGAAAATATTGAAAAACAACTTCATAATTTTTCGTTTATGAAACTGTTAAGTTTTATAACTCTGGAGCATTTGAATAAGTCATGTCCATATGTTATCAATTCTGACATGAACTATTTCCCCTTCAGCAGAATGCATGCATATATATATATATATACACCAGGTACTTTTATAACATTATCTATCAAATTTCATACAATATAAAAATGGGGAGGTCCTGATGTAATTTTTCAGTATACATCTGACAGTTTAATTTTGACATTTTGGAAAAATTACTAACTGCAATAATAATTTTATTTTTTATGTTAAATTGGTTCTGATCACTTGTATATTATGAATTTGAATCCATGAAAAAATATTGTACAGATTCCCTACTGGTAATTGGAAATCACAATTTGGTATAACACTATTGAACAGTTCACATGCTGATACATCCTAGTATTGACAAAAGTTCTGCTTCAATTTCTTTAGCATTACAATAATTAAATCTGGAGAAACTAAAACAGAAACAGGACTCTTTCCCTGCTCAACCTTGCAGATGTAATAAGTTAATTATTTCTCGTTTATGTAACTTTTTCAATATTAATTTATTTATCTCTCATGTATTTGAAAAATTGAAATGATAATCAGAGTGAAATACATCTTGTCTAATGTAATTTATTCTCAGCACTGTGGTGGTGTTAACTACACCACCACGCTGTGTATTGCAAGCTGATTTGTGTATTAGGATGCTCAACATCTCGGATACAATCTGCACTGAAATATGCATCCGAAATCGCGTTTTAATAGCGATATTTTTAATAATATGTCCTAGTTGAGGATCTGATCATTGGTTTATAATTTATACAAAATGGCGGTTGATGGACCCCAATCAAAGATGATGTCAGTGCTCGTCTGCGTCTGTACCAGGCTATACAATGTTCGGGCACGTGGGCGTAACCGAGGACACTAAAAGGCGTATTTACCTGAGGTGTCGTGGACTGTAGTTGACTAAGAAGACTTTCTTTCTCTTTTTCTGTATCCGAGAGTTTAGCTTGAGTCAATGAGAGCGAGTCCTGTGTTTCACGTAATGTTTCCATCAACTTATCCCTCTCGTCTAACATGTTTACCATAAGCTGCTCAAAGTTAGCATCATCCCCCGATCCCTGAGACTCTCGGTCCGTCGACCCATCCTCAGAGATCGTGGGCATCACATCGCACATCATCGTTCAGATTTATAGTGAAGCAATCCTGGAAAATGAAAGCACCGGAGCTAAGGACACGGAAACTGAATGATGCATCCCTCGCTCGAGTTAGTGATATTTTAGCCGAAAGCGTAGTTCATTTTCTCAGCAACTATATACACGATCTAATCCATGGTAAGGTATATCGCAAGAATATTTCTCCAATTTTTTCCTGAATGGTTTAACATACGATTTAGTTTTTTCCTTCATCGCAAATGAAGCCATCGGTTTTGAGTCTCTCTACATCTTTTTATCGTGGTAGCCATCTTTTCTTCCGACAAAAGTGTGTCATTTCCCATAATTCCAGAGTTATACTGATTGAAGGGAAATAACTCTGAGAAGCTAAACATGATTGGCAGGTGACCGAATCCAATCAAATAAAATTCTAAAAAGAAAAATACCACTATATATATATTTAAATCCCTGCAGAAATTATGTTTGTTTTTATTTCGAAAATGAAAAAACTAATCTGTAGCAATATATAGGGTTAGGCGAACAACATTTCAACATAATTTATGTGAATAAAACTTAATGTCGTAAAAAAAAGAGATATTTAGCACGTAAACTTGTAAACTTCATGGTTGAAACTATTTCTTACAACAACAACAACAATAAAAGTAGGACATATTTAGTAAATGTAATGATTTTTTTCCAATCAGATGCAAACAAAGTATATTCCAAATACATGTAATGAATTTATACATTTTTTTTTTAAATTAAGAATTCAGCTACTTATATGCAAGTGACTGATTTATAGATGCTGCACCATATAATACAGATTTGTATTGACCATAAAGATTTTCTTTTTCAAAAGAAGTGACTTTAAATTGAAAAGTAACTAATGTTCAACTGTTACTGGTCTTTAAATAAGTAGCAGGGTCAGTAACCAATTGTATACAACTATGCTCAAATCACAGTTATCATGTTGAATTTAGATGATAAGGTGGTTCACTCTCTTACACTATGATCATGACCTTTTTGGAATTGATTTAACCCCTATTGCACATCTATAAAGTTTTGCAGTGTGTGACAGGAGCCTTATACAAGCCTTTGGAGATAAATCTATCATTTAACAAGAGGCCCATGGGCCTTAACGGTCACCTGATATATTTATACAGAGAGTTGATTTGGTTTTTAACATGAATAGAAATATTATTCAAAGTGACAAAAAACAATAAAACCACCTTATTCAATATCTAGCATACAGATTTAAGACTAAAATGTATTTGAAACTAGCACCTCCGATTCTAAACAAGGAAAATGAAGAAATTTTAGTAAACTGACTCCTTTGGACCCCACCCTACAGCCCTTAGGGCAGGGCTGGCTCAAAATTTTCAAAGTATCAAACTGTCAACTCAGGGTTATAATTCCAATCAAGTTATTAACATGTAATATTCAAAGTATCATTTGCCATTATAAACCATAATAAATCCCCCCTCCTGCCTGAGGGGGTAAACTTGAGACCCTAGGGTCATAAACCTTAAGACCCTTCCATCTATGAAGAGTGTTTGATTCTACCATCTGGGTCTTGAGAAGAAGATTTTTGAAATTTCAGTCAATTCAACCCTTTTTTGGCCCCACCCATCAGCTCCGGGGGGTCAGTCAGGGCTGATATGTGCATACCATCAAACTGCTATCCAATCCTGATCATACTAACCCAAATTGAATTACTTCCAAAGGAAATTAAACAAATGTTGGTCCAAAATGTGATTTCCCTATATAAACTATAGTAAAGCTTACCACCTCCCCAGGGGTAAACATGATACCCCAGGGTCAAGAATATCACAATTGTGGTGAAGCACCTTAAGACTCTTCCATCTATGAAGAGTGTTTAATTCTACCATATCTGGGTCTTGAGAAGAAGATTTTTGAAATTTCAGTCAATTCAACCCTTCTTTGGCCCCACCCATCAGCCCCGGGGGGTCAGTCAGGGGTGATATGTGCATACCATCAAACTGCTATCCAATACTGATCATGCTAACCCAAATTGAATTACTTCCAATGGAAATTAAACAAATGTTGGTCCAAAATGTGATTTCCCTATATAAACTATAGTAAAGTTTACCCCCTCCCCAGGGGTAAACATGATATCCCAGGGTCAAGAAATTCACATCTATGAAGAGTGTTTGATTCTACCATATCTGGGTCTTGAGAAGAAGATTTTTGAAATTTCAGTCAATTCAACCCTTTTT